TGTACACTCCAAGTGGAGGTTCCAATTAAAAGATACCTTCATGGTATGCATATAAAATGTTTTCTGAAATAGTGAAGGAAAATGTTAGTATTTTTTGTTTTGAAAAATACATGTACGTATTTCAAAATAATATAATGGTTTCATGTGGTTTTTATAAAGATGTATTTTGTAGAGAGAGAAAGGTATGGGTTTTTAGTCCGACATTGAAAAAGAGAGTGTGAATTGAAAAGAATGATGGAGCCTATGCGGAGCATGAGAAGCGTACGACGTGCACGTGCATACAGGCATGCGCGAGGATATGGGTGCAAGCGCAATTAGTGGCGCACTTTGCAACGCATGCTCACATCGGTACATGAGGCACCCCTCACCCAAGCACGTGATGGGTCAGGCTCGAGGCTTGATATTTTTTTTATGAGCATGGCTCATGTGGGACATCCAACAATCACTAGCCATTGAAGAAATGAAGGCTTTTAACAGTTGCTATTGAGTTAAGGGCGTATATGTAACTTATGATTGTTGGTGATGCATGTAACCACTCCTATAATAAATGAGTAACCTCTTGAAGCTCTATAAAAGGGGTCATTTTCCCATACGAAAGATACACTTCCTATGCTCTTCTAATACTTTTTCTCACATTATTCTCTACAAAAATACAGAGAACATAACTAAGCATTCATCTCTCTCTTTACTCATTTTCTCTTTTTCTCTCTCTATACAATACAAGAATCTGGTGTCTACTGTAGGCTTCAAGCTCAAGTGCAATATAGATTTAGAGCATCAAAAGAGACTTTTTTGTTTTCTTATATCTCGAGGAAGAATTACCTTTCCTTATGCATAAATTTTACAGTATCGAAGGGGGGCAAATATTGTCTTGAGATAACGCTCCTGCATGCTTGAAAACGAGAAGGATTTAAACTTCAATTTTCTTTTTTCGTATTATCTTTTTGCCCTTTTTTTTCACCCAATCGAATTCCCACTCATGCTTTAGTAAAGACTGACAACATAATCCAATGTCTCAATCCCAAATTGAACCTATTGCACATTAACTGTAGTTTTTTTAATAGAATTTATCAAAATATACATCACATTACCAACTATTTAATATTTTATTATTTTTCTACTATTTTAAGTTCCTAATTATGTGTATTTTGGAATGAATTCCAAATATAGGGGTAAAAGCAAAACATTAAATAGTTAATTTCCCTTTTTAATTTTTATTTTTTTTGTGACTTTAAGATCAATTTGATGGACCATTAAACAAGAGCAAGCATGTGTTTTCAACACACTAGATCAAGAATAGTTTCACTCAATGTTTATGAAAAATGGATCGATAATATCGGTTGCATCCCGAAAACTGATCTAGATCGGTACATTGGTGGTCCAGATCGAAGGATCAACCATATAGGCCAAACTGGCCTTAAAAAAATCAACAAATCACTAAAAATTCTTAAAAATCTAGTTCTTTAGGTTTCTAAAAAAAATGAGGCTTTTTCATTATGTACTTTCTTTCTTTTGTCAAGAATACAAAAATACTAAGAACCTGTTTCATGTTGAGCGTTTGTTGACCATTACATTAATTTTATAAATTTGTTAAAAAATACAACTCATTGCAACAAAAAGAATCTCTCTAACTCAATTTTTTTTTCATATTTTTATAATCTACAAGACCTCATGTGTCTGCAAAGATAGGGGTTGTTGCCTACCCTTTTTTAAAAAAACAAAATTAATTTGTTAAAATAAATTACTTATTTCCATATCATATTTTTATCAATATTTTTTGTTTATAGATGTGGTATTTAATTTATCTCTTATTATCTGCTTGAAAAATATAGGTTCGACATGATCTCCTTTGATTTAGCTTAGAGGTTTCTTGCATAGAGTTGGGGCATAATCATGTTAAAAAAAAATAAAAGTTACAAATATAGTTGGGAGGAAATCTCTCTCATCCCCACATTCAATCTCTAATTATGCCTCTCTCTATCTCTTTCATCCCTGCAAATGCACTCTTTATTTACTACTAAGCCCTCTCTCTCAAATATAAACGTTAGTTTCGTAAATTATGCGTTATAATAATTAAAACACCTTTAGTTTGCCAAATTTCATCACATTGAAAATTCTTTATAGCACAACGTCACCGACATGGTAAAATTTGGCCCCTATCCGAAAAATGCATGACAGTTGCTCTAGAATCTAATATTGCCATGACTAAGCTTGAGCTTTGTAAAACTTCAATAATATTGCCATGACTAAGCTTGAGCTTCGTAAAACTTCAAAATCTTTGGTAGAGAGAGAGAGGGAGATCGATACTTGGTTACCATTTTCTTTCCCATGGTTTTTTGTAAATGATAGAACTTTCATAGACACCAAGGGGCTATTTGGATACCTAGAAATATATTGTCAATAAAATATATTATTGGCGTAATACATTACCTGTAAATGGATTGTTATTGTTTAGGTAGTATTTAGATGCAACCTGAGAAATACATTATTATTGTTTGGCTATGTCTGGAAGAAATATAGGAAATGCATTACCAACATTTTACCAGCACGTGCCTATAAACTATCATTTCTTTATTTTTTGTCACAAAATTCCACTAAAATACAGAATTAGAATTTCTTTCTTTTTTGTCACAAAATTCCACTAAAATACTGAATTAAAATCATCATTACACCATTCCAAAAAGATTTCTACTAATAACATTATCACCATTCCAAAAGATTTTCTAATAATAACTTGTATTATTTTACAGTCATGACACTATTTCCTACTTATATGCAATCACATGTTTTCTAACATGACATTGGTTTCAACATGATAAGTCATTGGAACAATATGATTGGAATAACATGATTTTATTATGATAAGACTTATTTGTATTTATTTTATATAGAAGTCTTTCAAATGTCTCTCTATATAATTTCAAATAAACAATAAATTTTATGATACTAAATTCAAAATCTGTAGGGTACGAGTTAAAAATTGGGAAGAAGTTTGATTAGTAAACTAGAAAGTTTGGTAATTGCAGTATAAAATTTTGAGGTATTGGAGAAGATTAAAGAGATATGTTATTTCAATTGAGATTTTAGTAATCTCTTATGAGGATTATGTTGTGTGAAATTTTTTATTATGATTGTGTTGTGTAATTTATCATTGATTACTGATTTTTATTTTTATTATTTTTGTTTTTATCGGACACTGATGCCTTCAGATGAGGGGACGAGCTTAAAAAGGGGATCACATTATGTTGTGTGAAATTTTTTGTTATAATTGTGTTGTGTAATTTATCATTGATTACTGACTTTTATTTTTATTATTTTTGTTTTTATATGACAGCTGATGCCTTCAGATAAAGGGGACAAGCTTTTTGGGATCACCTACTTATTATGAAGAGGGAGGGCTTAGAAGATTTTTTTTAATCATAGATAGGATAGGCAAAAACGCACACGAAAGATTTCTCAAAATTAACCGTCACTCTCGTAATAGATTTTTCACCTATCACCCCATAATGGATTTCCTGATTTTTAGAGAAATCTCGCATAATCTCTTTACATTTCTTTACGATTAAGTGTACCCAAACCGTGAAAATAGCATATTTCCCTGTAATCTATTGTCACGTAATAGATTTCCAGTACCCAAACGGCCTCCAAACGTTCTGCACTTTAAGATAGAGAAATTTTCAGGTGGAGTATATACTTATAGCCCATAAAAGTTTTAAACTAATAGAGAAATTTTTAGGTGGAGTATATACTTATAGCCCATAAAAGTTTAAGTTTAAAACTTTAAAAGGTTTATCATATATTAGAGAGGTTAGATAAAAGTTAGCACTGATAAATTATAAAATACTAAAGGGAATGTATATTTATTATATTCCATCTAGTAGATGAGGAGCCATCCACATGGAATTGTGGGGCCTTTAGCAAATAGATAGAAATCTAAAAAACATATATAAAAAATGTAATTAGTTTTAAGTAATTACAAATCTAAAATATAAAACAAAAATTTATTTAAATAACAATTATATAGATAATGTGGGTCATCTAACAAGTAAAAAGTTTTGAAAATAAAATTTATAAACCTAAAAACTACATAGAACTAGGAACCGACCTTTTCTAAGTGGGAATTGGTCGGTTCTAGGTAGGATCCAATCAAAACCGGCCTATTCCTAACATTTAGAGGGAGTTGGATTAATTCCCAATAATTTGAGGGAACCAAACCAATTCCCATGAAAACTGATCTAAATCAACCTATTTTGATTTGGATCAATATGTTTTAAATATTAGTTTTGCAATACATTTGCCCCTCTCCATTTGGACAAACCTGTCAAACTAAATAAATTCCTAAAAAAATTTGACTTACCTCTCAACATAAATGTTTATATTAATCACGATTACTGCTATTCAATAATAGACAAACAAGGTAAGGTCTTTCTAAGCTCTCACCCTCAAGCGGTCTTCGTGCCAACCTAATGCCTCTCTCTTGATTATATATATTAAGTATTCGTGATCATCAAAACGGTTTAGATAGTGCCTCTCTTGATTATATATATTAAGCATTCGTGTTCATCAAATCGGTTTAGATAGTGTTTATATGTTAATTTATATATATATATATATATATTTTAACGTAAAAGAAATACGTCACATAGAATAGGGACCAAGTCGGAATGGTACTCAAGACATCGTCTTGTATTGCCCCGACCTCGACCACGATGCCTAGAGCCCATTGCTAACCCCGTCTCGCTGTCTCTCTCTCTCTCTCTCTCTCTAGACTTGAGTACCACGATCCATGAGATCTTTCTGAGTCCATGGTATAAGTTCTTAAGGCCATGGAATAAATCGATGGACGGTGGCTGAGAGAGAGAAAACGGGCCGCTGGCCTTGCATGCGTTCTCACCATCACCGTTCATCTATTAATCGGCCGCCAGTAGAAATTCATGACCAGTAGAAATTAATCGGCCGCACTATATTAGGCATTCACGGAGAGAAAGTGGAGCGAGAGAGAGAGAGAGAGAGACAATGGAGGAAGAGGAGCACGAGGTGTACGGCGGAGACATCCCAGACGAGGTCGACATGGAAGGGGCTGACAACCCCGATGTCGACATGGCTAGGGCAGACGAAGACGCCGCTGCTACCAAGGTTAACTCCCATATCTATCTCTCTTCTCCTTCTCACTTCTTCCTCCTTTCATATTTTTACAGAGAGAGAGAGAGAGAGAGAGAGAGAGAGAGAGAGAGAGAGAGAGTACGTACTACTAGTACGTACGTAGTACGTTCGTTTCGTTTCGTTTCGTTTACTTACTTAACTTACGTTACGTTACGTTAAGTAACGTACGTAGTAGTAG